AACATGCTAATCTCGGTCAATAACCGTCAGGAGTTACCTCTGATTAAGCCCAAGTGAGTAATCGTTTCGAAAAACCGTACTCGGCCGTGACCCTCCGCGTGTGTGCGACGCCGTGCGGTGGCTTGCGGTGCGGCGACAGACCACTACAATACTCGAAGATGCTTGCGAACTCTTGCTTGATGAGTAATATGCTGACTGCCGTGAAGAACTTCGGTTATGCGAGCGATGCTTACTACTTGCGATTAACCGTGCGGTACTTGGGCGTGGCCTTGCTGTGCGACGATCGCCGTGCGAGGTGCGCTGCTTGCCGTGCGAGTAATATAGGCTAAGGTTCTTTGCTGCTGAAATTGCTAAGTATTGGGAGGATGTATAAGCTTAAATGGTGTGGCAAAAATGATCCCAACATCCCCTTTTATACTCAAGCCGAATGGGTATAATGATGAAGGGATGATGTGGTTGATCCTCAACTTAACACTTGCCATCTTAAGGGTTAGATTAAGGTGACTAATCACTTACAAACCCTCTCAATTGAACACGTATACTAGGCTTAATAGGGATAAGAAAAATGGTTCCTTAACCCTTAGGAGAATAACATAAAATTTAGAACCAAACACCTTATACTTACGGCTTTGGAAAAATTATAAGGAATTTCCGAATATATTATATAATGCTAATGGTGATTAATTTCAATTAATCACGAATTAAAGCTTAATTTATTAATTAAGCATAATACTTAATTACGAAAATTATTTCGAACGTAAACGGTACGTCGAAAATAATTTCCGGTAATTTCGACTGAACTGACTGAAAAGAATTAACTCCGAAAATTAATATCGGAACTAAAAATATAATTTATACTGAAATTGACGGGATATTACAATCCTCCCTCCTTACAAAATTTCCGTCCTCGGAAATTCAGAACATAACTGAAAATACATGAACTATGTACATCAAACAAGAAAGTATGTACATCAGAACTGAAAATCGGGAAACCGAGCGCGAATATCGGACTCCTCCTCCCAAGTAGCTCCGTGGCGATCCCACTGAATACGCACGAGGGGAATATCTCGCTTCCGGAGCCGACGAATCTGACGGTCTAATACAGCTACCGGTCGCTCCTCGTACGAAAGGTCTGACTGAACCTGAATATCTGAGTGGGGAATAACATGATCGGGGTCGCACACGTACTTACGCAACATCGATGCGTGAAATAAATTATGAATGCCTGATAACTCGGGAGGTAGGGATAAACGATACGTGACCTCGCCTACTCGCTCGAGAATCTCGAACGGACCGATGAATCGAGGGTGGAGTTTCCCTCTCTTTCCGAATCGCACAACTCCGCGAATCAGACGAACTCGAAGAAAGGCTGGCTCGCCAACCTCGAACTGGATGTCTCGTCGATGATGATCGGCGGAAGATTTCTGTCGACTATGAGTTGTCGTGAGTCTCTGCTGGATCAACTCGACCTGATCTGCTGTCTCCTCGATCAACTTAGGACCGAGTACTCGTCGCTCTCCGACGTCGTCCCAATAAAGAGGGGAACGACACTTGCGACCGTAAAGTGCCTCGTACGGAGCCATCTGAATAGAAGAATGGTAGCTGTTGTTATACGCGAACTCGGCGTACGGTAACAGCGACTCCCACTTAGCACTCCTGTCAACAACCAAGGCGCGAAGCATATCCTCAAGCGTCTGAATAGTCCGCTCTGACTGACCGTCTGTCTCCGGATGATAGGCTGAACTGAACTCTAACTTCGTGCCCATCGCCTCATGTAAACTATGCCAGAATCTGCTGACGAATCTGGGATCTCTGTCTTATACGATCGTAATGGGCACTCCGTGGAGTCGGATGATCCCACGGGTATATATCTCAGCCAACTTGTCCAGAGACATCTTCATCGAAATGGGTAAGAAATGTGCACCCTTAGTCAATCTGTGTACCACGACCCAGATAGCGTCGTGATGTTCAGACGACCTCGGTAACCCCGTAACGAAATCCATCGTGACTTCCTCCCACTTCCACCTCGGAATCGGCAGTGGCTGCAGGAGG